CCTCTTGCGCAAATGATTTGCACAAGAGGGCTTTTGCCCGAACGTGAGCAGCATAGTATTTCCGCAAAAAGCACTGATTTCTCACAGTAGGAAGTCAGTGTTCTTGTGGAAATTCAAGCAGCTAGTGTAGACAGCTGGCAAGATTTTCCGCAAAAGCAGCTGATTTTGCAGAAAAACTTGCCAGTCTAGACACAGCCAATGAGTTGCTCCAAAGCAATTTATCTTTTACTGCGAAGACAACAGTAAGGCACATTTGCCAACTATTTGCAAGGGTAATAAACCTTTTGTGCAGAGTTGCTGGCCAAGTCTGTCTTTTCCCTTGAATACTGGAATGTATCAGGTGCAATATAATTATTGTCCCTTTTGGAAAAAAAATGAAATAACAGTTAAAGGTGAAGATGGCTTCTTCATTTTATAGACAAGACAAAAGGTGATAATGAAAACTGGTTAAATTATACTTTTTCAGTGAAAACTATCTTCCATAGTTTTTTTGAGTTCAAGATTTTTTCTTTTTAATATTAAAGCATCAGAATGGAGCCTGCTTTAGAGCAAGGCAAATAACAAATCCAAAGGCTTGTTTTCCTTATCAGTACTGAATTATGCCTAAAGCACACTGAGCTGTCAGCTCTCATAGGTGGTCCTGGTCCTGTCTGTAAGAGTGAGGTCAATTACATGCTGTAGGTTTGATGAGCATGTCAGGTTCTCCTAAATACTGCAAGAATGATCAAGATATCAGTAACAGCAAGACTAGAGGAACAAGTATGCTCAGGAAAAGACTCTTAGGCCAAATTAACAAGAGGCTCATCTTGATTTTATGCAAATTTCATTTGTACAAATGTGTATGCATGTGTAATTGTCTGGTCTAAGTGGAGTAATTTGTAGTTTGCACATGAACAAATGGGAAGCCATTTGAAAACTTTATTGCAATGGTCCACTAGAGCATGACTAGTCTATGTGAGCGTCCAAGCAGAAGTGTCACTGAAGTGAAAGGTTTATTTTAAAAATATTGCTATATTCTCCTGATCGGAAAATTGGGAGGAAACCCCTGGGTTCAGAGAGGCTAATAGTATTTTTCTAACACTAAAAGGATTTTACTGGTTCCAGATCAGACCAATTAACATTGTCTTTTGGCTGTTCATCAATCTCAACCTTGCCATTATGGGGATCGGTTTATATACAGTTCTCATTTTTAAAAACATGTACATAGCAAATGCCTAATTACTCCTGTTGATTAAAAAGTTGCAAGTTACAATCTGGTTCCATGTGATGGAGTATGCTGTATAGGACTGTGTTACTAGCTTCAAAATAGTACAATCTATTTGAAAGGACATTATTGACTCAGTTGAAGTCTTTAGCGAGTCTTCACTAGAGGGTAGGGCTGGTGGCTTTTAGCAGTAATGTGTTATCCTAAAAAAGTGTGTTCCTTTTGATTTTCTCCTTGTGTGGCTTACTTCTTTAATACCTGGAATGGACTGGGAAACTAAATGTATCCCTATCTGATTAAACAGAAAATGTGAATTTCATGTATTCACCTACAGCACTTTGCATCAAAGTCTACATTCTTTACTTTCCCCACTGACTGATATAACATCCACACTGTTTCCAAATAGGCTGTGTCTACACTGCACCCCTTTTCCGGAAAAGGGATGCAGATTAGACAAGTCGGAATTGCAAATGAAGCGGAAAATTTAAATATCCCCCGCTTCATTTGTATAAACATGGCTGCCGCTTTTTTCTGGCTCGGGGCTTTGCCGGAGAAAAGCGCCAGTCTAGATGGGATCTTTTGGAAAATAAATCCTTTTCCGAAAGATCCCTTATTCCTGATTTTAAGAGGAATAAGGGACCTTTTGGAAAAGGCTTTATTTTCTGAAAGATCCCTTCTAGACTGGTGCTTTTTTCCAGCAAAGCCCTGAGCCGGAAAAAAACGGCAGCCATGTTCATGCAAATGCAGCGAGGAAAATTTAAATCCCCGCTGCATTTGCAATTCCGACTTGTCTCATCTGTATCCCTTTTCCAGAAAAGGGGTGCAGTGTAGACACAGCCATAGTGTATTACAGAAAAAGGCCCTGATTCACCACTGCTTTGCACCTTGGATAATTACTCATCTCTATGCAAGGTCTGAGTAAAATTCTGCCACTCAGATTTTTTTATAATCCTGACTACAAAAGGCAGTGCAGAATCAATCCCATCCAAGGTATGTTGGCTGATAGCATAAATTAGATCCAATTCTCCTTTTTGTTAAATGAAAATTAATCCAATTAAATTGAACCAGACTGTTTGAGAGCTGAGCGAATAGCTGGTTTATTTTTCAGATGGCTGGTAATATATTCAGGTAAACCCACCATAGTAGTACAGTTTTAAAACTTTTTTTTTTTTAAAGAACAGTGTTTAAAAAATTGAAGTAAATTTCAAAATGAAGTAATCTGAAATTGAAAAAATCAAAACATTTCATTTTGAAAATATCTAAATGAAATTTTTCCAGTTTGTTTTTGTTTTTGTTTTTTGTTTTTTGCGTGGGTGAAAGTGGGGCATGACTGAAACAATTAATGAATTTGTTGACGTAAATTCAAATCAGCATTCTTCAGTGAAACAAAAATTTTTGTTAAAAATATTTGCCTAGTGACCATTTACAAAATATTGTGATACAAAGCTGGGAAAGACTGCAGTGACCTAAAGTTCACCTATGTCCATGCTTTTGACTCTTTTGGAAGTTCCTCTCTGTTAAGTTACATAGTTTCTATTGTGATGAGGAACGATGGTTTAGTGGTTAGAGCACAGGATGAGAGTCAGGAGTTTTGGCTTCTGTTCCTAGTCTAGCTGCTGTCACTCTGTGTGACTGAGGGTAAGTAGGTCACTTAATTCAAAGCCAATGGGAGCTGCTTTATACTTAGGTTCAGGGAAAGTGGAGGTGGAATTCAGGTGGGAAAACTGTCACAAAAACTTTGGAATAGACAAAAATCTGAGCCCAGGGGAGAGAGACAGAAACTGCAGGGATGCCTCAGTCTAGCTAGGCCATTGGTGGGCAACCTGCGGTCCATCAAGGTAATCTGATTGTGGGTCACGAGACATTTTGCTGACATTGACCCTACATGAGCATCCCTCCTCCCAGCTCCTATTGGCCCCATTTTGCTGTTCCCAATCATTGAGAGCTGTGGGGGTAGCACCTGCAGGTGAAGGGGAAGCAAGCATATATTGGCCACTGGTTTCCACAACTCCCATTGGCCAGGAATGGTGAACCACGGCCACTGGGAACTGGGGGGCCAGTGCATGTGTCCCATAATCAAATTACCCTGATGGGCTGCAGGTTGCCTATCACTGAGTTAGGTCAACCGAAGTTTAGGTGAGACATAGTCATATAGACTGCATATTGTGTTAAGGACTCCTGTCTATGCTTTGAGTCTTTTCATCAATACTCTCTTTTGAAGAAGCTGTTTTGGGGTGCATGCTGGTCACAGCTCCTGAAGGGAAGTCTTGCAGGGCAGCTGAATCCTGTTGTGCCTGTGGAGCAATCCCAGGAGGCCTTGGTCTGAGGGTGAAAAAATTAAGATTCCACCTCTGAGTGGTGAAAACAAGAAGCGTATTGCCTGTGAAGCTTGCACTCAGACTGAGGGGGGACGACAGAGGTAGAGCTAACCATGAACCACTCCATGAACCATGACCAGTCCATTTCCAGCAGTCAAATTTACATTTTAATTTCATTGGTCTATATTCACCTTCATGTTAATGAAGTTGAAATTGAAGTGCCTGCAGTGGGACAGCAGTTGTGTGAAAGAAGCAAGAGCTACCAACATATGCTGCCGAATTAAATAAATAAGTAGTCATAGACAACTACATGTATGGGTATATTAATTCTTTCAGGTTTTCAAGTATTTTTTAAGAATAAAATAGTCCAGACACTCTCATTATTGTTCTACATTTTCCCCCTTCCATCTTAATTTAACTTTTCCCCTCATGTGATATGTTACTGAAATTGATTCCTGCAAAAGTTTTTCTGCCATGTGACCACTGTTGACTCATCTCACATGCGAGCTTCTAAGCTTTCTTTCTCTCCAGAGAACTAACTTATTGTGTATGTCATTATCTAAGGGTTGAAGTATGATGATAATCCATAGCACTGAGAGAGGCTTTTTACCCACAGATTTCAAAGCTTTTTATAAAGGTTGGGTAAATACCATTTACATTTTACACAAGGGGAAACCGAAACACAGAGCAGTTAAGAGACACATCAAAGTTCACACAGCAATTCAGTGGCAGAAATAAGATTAAAACCCAAAGGTTATGTCTCCCAATCCTTTCTCCAGCCACTGGATCACAATATTTATGGAACAAATAATATCAAAGAGGATAAAGGACCAGATTCTTCACCCTGCTACAGCCTCTTTGTTGTAGTGGTGTTGAGGGGCCATAAATCCAATCTAATGGCCTACCTGGGAATTCTCTGCCTGTCAAGGAAACCCCAGAGGATGTAACTGTGATGAAGTCACCTTTATCCTCTCCTGTCCCCACCAATCTTGCTCAGCTGAACCCAAGAACTAGGGCCAAGACATTAAAATACAATGATATTTTTCTCCAATGAAAAATATTTTATTATGAAACTTAAAAAACAACAAATATATTCTGGTAACACTTTAAAGACTAATAATACATGTACATGGTATCATGAGCTTTCGCAGTCATCTGAAGAAGTGGACTGTGCCCACGGTAGCTCATGATACCATCTACATGTTTGTTAGTCTTTAAAGTACTACCAGACTATTTGAGGGGGGGGGTTAAGTTTTTCGTGTTACAGACTAACTCGGCTATCCTTCTGAAACATTATGAAACTGTCCATTATTTGATCTGGTAAAGTAAAAATACTTCATGTCAACAGAAACTAATATTGTACAATAAATTACTCCACAGTATGATGCAATATGTAATAGAATATGTTTTCACTCAGTATTAGATTTGTGGGCTGCTGTCACTCACTCTAAAGGTTACTATCTTTCTTTTCTTTTCAGTACAAAAGACAACTGTAAAACTGGAAACCTTTCTGGGAATTTGCTTGGCTCCACAAAGAACATACAGGTCTGTCTTTTTCAGTTAATAGGGCTTTTTGAGCTTTGTATAAAGACTTTTTTGTTAGCGCTCCTGAATTGGTAGTACAGTAGAGTTACAGAACCAGGTCCTCCAGGGCTATTTGGGATTTAATTTGCAGCTCTCGCTCACAATGATTATTGCTACAGAGGTAGGGCATAATAGAGATTCAAATTTTTCATACTGGTGTGATTAATTGTAATTGGTGGATTCCTACAAAGTGAGGTGGGTTGTTTTTTACTCTTTACATGCAAGAGTAAGTCAGCTTAGTGTCGTGCAGGTGCTGCCTTTTTAATACACTCCTGTTGTTATCATCAGTTACACTTTATGGGGCTCTGTGTAAGTGATACCTGGTGCTTTACAAATCAAATTAGGACAAATGGTCATGATTTTTTGATTTTTTTTTTTAATGATTTATGATCATGAGTATTTGTATTGGAGGTAGCACAGAGGGCCAGCGTAGACAGCAGAGATTTGTTTTCCGCAAAAAAGCCCCGATCGTGAAAATGGTGGTCGGGGCTTTTTTGCGGAAAAGCACGTCTAGATTGGCCACAGACGCTTTTCCGCAAAAAGTGCTTTTGCGGAAAAGCATCCTACCAATCTAGACGCGCTTTTCTGAAAATGCTTTTAACGGAAAACTTTTCCGTTAAAAGCATTTCCGGAAAATCATGCCAGTGTAGAGGTAGCCTATCCGTCTAGCTGCTGAGCATAGTGGCCCCAAACCAGGAAAGCATTTAAGCTCATTTAATTGCGAGCACATATGTAGTATTGACATCTGTGCTCACACACTTACATGCTCTGCAGGCAGTGGTATAGAGAGCTTTTTTATGAGGTAGAGAAGGGTCATGTTAAAAATAATAACTTCCTGCTAAGTAGAGCTCTTCAAACAATATTTGTCAAATTATGTTGACACATTTTTCAGTATTTCTGAACTTAAATTATTTGGCAAAAGAATTGTTCATATTCTTTGCCCATCTCTACTGAATTTCTCAAATGACATTTGTTTCTTAATGTAGTCTATCATCTTTTTGAACTAGTTATTTAAGTTATTTGTGTAATTTTTTTTACATTCAGTCCTATTATAAATCATCTTGGTCTTGATCTGAATGAAATGGCACATGCATTAGAGCATCTTCATCTTTTTTGAGTCAGCCTACACAATATTATCTAACTTCCTATACAGCTCCTGCTTCCAACAACCTATTGCTAAATACCTTTACTATATGGATTAAAGGTCAAGCGCTTGCTTTCTAATTAAACTCTATGAGGAGAATAATTGCACTTTACACTCATTTGTGCAAATATGCAAAAATATTAACCATGATCAAAACATTAGCAGGAGCTAAATTTGAGTCGTGTGAAATCGCCCATTGCTTATATAAATTCTGGCAATTATAGGACAATATAATCCAAGGCAATTTTAAGAACAAGAGAAATGGGATGCTGCAGCTATATCAAATGAATCTTGAACTTGCTCTCTCTCTCTTCTTGGTAAAGGAAAACTGCTGTGTATTCACAACAGATTTGTGTCCTGCATTCGTACAGAAGCTTTTGCTCTTCAAAAGCAGAAATGCTTTATAAATTGTACTGTCTAATGGTTTGTTTGGAGACAGATTGTTCTTTGCCCTCTTCTAGATATATGTGTAACCCTTCTGCCAGGTAGTGCCAGCAGCAGCCAGGGCTGGGTTCAATATCTAGGGGTCCCTTTTCATCCATTTCACATAGAACCAGCTCGAGCCCCCACCCTGTAGCCTGGGAAATTCATACACCCTTGGGAGCCTCTGAGATGCAATGCTTCCCCACTCTCAAGCACAGAGTCTGAGTGTAGAAAAGAAACTTTTAATGAAAGATGAAGAGAAGTTACATGGCATTACCAGGTGTTAGGCTAGAGAAAATGTAGGCATTTTATGTCTATATTAAATTCTAATGGTGTAGTTTTTGAAACCAGAGATTTTTCATAAAGTTATTATTAAAAGTTACACATACTATCTTTTAAAATATCTTTCACCCGTCACTAATAGTCATTGTTAATGTTAAATGGTTAATGCTATTCTTATAAATAATACAAATGTCTAATTTGTTTTGGCTGAGCTCTTATCATGAATGCCAATAGGTTTCCTTTATTCTGTTTAAGAAATGTATGTTATGTGTTCCTTAGTTGTAAAGTTATAGTTGCTCTGATGTTCTTGTAGTATTAGAAAGGACACACACTGTAACATTGTCCCCAAACCAGTGACTTCAGCTCTTAGGATAGTCAACTCTTTAGCTACCACCTAGGCTGGCAAAAAGATTCCAGCTTCCACTGGAATAACAAAAAGACTCCTAATGGAGTCTGCTTTATGGCTAATGTAGTCATTCGAACTTGCAAATGAAGCCCAAGATTTAAATATCCTGGGCTTCATTTGCATGTTCCTGGGTACCGCCATTTTTAAATGCCTGGTAGCTCGAACTACCTGCCCGCGGCTACACATGGCACAGGCTAGGTAGTTCGAATTAACATGAACTACCGTTACTCCTCCTGCAATGAGGAGTAACGGTAGTTCGAATTAAGAGCGTTAATTCAAACTACCTAGCTCATGCCGCGTGTAGCTGCGGGCAAGTAGTTCGAGCTACCGGGCATTTAAAAATGGCGGTGCCCAGGAACATGCAAATGAAGCCCGGGATATTTAAATCCCGGGCTCATTTGCAAGTTCGAATGACTACATTAGCCATCCTAGTAGGGTGGCTAGTGTAGCCATACTCTTAGTGATTTCAACTGTTTAGCCACCATCTAGGCTGGGAAAAGATTCCAGCTTCCACTGGACTAGCAAAAAGACTCCTGATGGAGTCTGCTTTAGGTCTGTCCTTAAAAGCAGGGGAAAGAGGCAGGCTGAACCAGTCTTACAGCTCACAACAGGCAGGCATGAAGCAGGCTGGTTCAAGCCCCTTCCTCCCATCCCCCAACTCAGTTCACTCAACTCTGGAAGGGGGAGGCTTGTTCATCTGAGACCTCTTCCAATGATGGTGTCTCTCCTGCAAGCACTGGTGTCATATTTTACAGTTCCCATATTTAGGGGTAGCATGGTTTGTGACCACACAACAGCCCAAATTAGTTACAATACATCACATTCCATTCTAACAACTGATCCTCCATCAGCCCTGGCTGAATTGGATTTACACACAACCACACCCCAGATTCCTTCTCCATCCCAGCATGAGCTGTATTTACATATAAACAGTTAATTATCTTTCAAGGCTAAACAATTTGAGTGAGCATACCCACCCCCAGGGCTGCTGGCTGATTGCAAGCAGTGGTTCAGCCCCTGCTTACATATGAAGTGGAATCAGGGTGCTGACAGCCTCCGTGGGCCTCTAGGCAAAATGGGGGAGGGGGGAATCTGTGCTCCTAGAAGGGGCAGGGCTTCAGGTGGAAGGGGTGGGGCAGGCAGCCCTCAGCACTGCTTGGAGTGCGGTTCCCACTCAACCCTTGGTGCTGCCCAGAGTGCATGGCACTCTGGTGGCAATTTTAAGGTTCTGGGGCTCTGGCTACTGTCAGCTTGTCACTTTTGTTTTTCTGGGACTGCTTCCATGTGCACATTTTTTCTCACTAGCAGTAGCAGATTTTTTGGCTTTTATCAATGAATTAAAAGACATGGTTACAATTTCAAAAACTACCTTATCTCTCATAGTCTCTGCAAGGAAGGAGTTTAAGGCCAGCGGAGGGAGTGAGGAGAAAGTACTTGCATTCTGTGCATGTCTCTCACACCTGGCTGGTGAGCTCCCTTTACAAGCCAGGTGTGAGTTGCATGTATGGATTGCAAGCACTTTCCCCTCACTTCCTTACCATCTGGGGATTGGGATGAAAAGTTAGCCACATCCAGTAGCACACAGCTGTCCCCACACATGCTCCTGAAACAGTGCCCTTGAGTCTCTGTGAGCCACCAGAAAAAAAACCAAAAAAACCCAAGAACCCAGAATAGGAAGTATTTTTTTGAATGCAAGGTGCATTTTAGCACCAGCACTGAAATAACCAATGGCAACTCTGAAAAACGGATTGTTGATAAAGATAAAATAGAGTTCATTCAGGAAGCACATAAAATATCAATTCTGCATGTTAATACTTTAGTAATGGGGCCAGGTGTATTATATTCAATACACTTTCTTCTAAAACTCAGACTAAATCCAAGTTATACCTCCTTGAAGTTTCAAAGACTTGAGTTAGTTACAAAGTTGAGTTAAGCTATGTCTACACTACAGGCTTCTCGTGCAAGAGAGCATCCACACTGCAACAGCGCATAGAAAAAAGCAATGTGCTTTTGCGAATGAGAGCGTTCAGACTGCATGGACGCTTTCTCAAAAGGAAACAGATTGCTTTTTACAGAATGGTCACCAGGGCACCTGTGCTTTTTTTGATTGACTCTTTTTGCACAAAAAAACCCCTGTTCCCCATCCACATACACCATTTTGTGCAAGAACCCTTGCACAAAAAGGAATTATTCCTCATAGAATGAGGAATACCTATTGCGCAAAAACCCCTCTGCTCTTTCGAATTTTTTTGCTCAAAAACTCACTTGAGGTGTGGACACTCTGCAAGTTTTTGCCGAAAAACAGCCATTTTTCCACAAAAACTCTGTACTGTAGACATAACCTTAGTTACAAAGGCTAGGGCTGGGTTTCGGAAGTAATTGTTATGAATTTAAAGGGTTTTAGGATCTGGCAAGGGCTGGAAAATATTGTGAGGGAAAATGTTTTGATGAAAGGTTTTTTATAGATTTAGCTAATGGAACCCAGCTTAAATTTCTAAAATATTAATATGCTGTGGTGCAAGTTATGGGTCAAATCCAGTTCACCTTACTCACATGAAGTCAGCAGGACTAATTCTGTCAGAGCAACTCAGGTGAGGAAAACTTAGGCCTATGCTTTTGTTAAAATGGATGGGTATGTAAATAAAAACCTGAGTAATTTCAATGAAAATTTTCTAAAAAAAGTGAACATTTTCAACTTCTGTCATTCCATAAAACAATGAACTGGAACTCCATGTGAAGTGAGAAAGGGTAAGGCAGCTGTTCCTGCAGTATCTCAAATCATCATTAACTTAGGAGCTGGGGCTATGAAATTCAACAATGTAAAGTATCAGAGGGGTAGCCGTGTTAGTCTGAATCTGCAGAAGCGATGAGGAGTCCTGTGGCACCTTATAGACTAACTGAAGTGTAAAGTATGTAAAGTATATCCCATATCTCTTCCCTAATCCTCTTATCACATAACTTGGTTGGTTACAAACTGTTCATGGATCATCTAAGACAGGGGTGGGGAACCTTTTTTGGGTCATTGACTCACAGAAAAATCAGTCAGGGGCTGCACACCAGTGACAAGCAAAAAAAACCAAAAAAACCCCAGAACCCTTACTGACATGGCTTCTGACAAAGAAGGGAAAAGATGCTCTCCACAATACCCTCGTACACCAGAACCTAGGAGTCCTAGGCTAATAGATTTTGTGTGCTCCAGCCCTGCGGTAGGGCTCCCCAACGCTGGAGGGAGCCATGAGACTCAGGGGCCAGATCCAGGTAACCTGGGGGCCCCATATGGCCTCTGGGCCTGAGGTTCCCCACACCTGATCTGGGAAGCACTGACTTGGTGTTACTTCTATTGGATAATATAGTTAAGGGTTGCATGCAAAAAATAGCAGCTGAGATTGAAGGCATGGGCAAACACTAAAATTCCAACAAGTCTGAATTCTTTAGTCACAATTTCTGGGCAGTTAGAGGCCATTTTGAATATGTTTTGTGCAAGATGATGAAACCAAGAAGATATTTAATATCTCACTTACTCTAATATGTATATTTTAAAGAAGTATTAAAGTAAATATGGTGAAACAATGATGTTTCGATCTGGTTTTAGATATTAAACAAATTCAGCATCTGTACATTGGGATTTGGTGTTAATGAGTGTTACTTGGAAATTGTAATTCATGTTCAGTTTTCAAGACATTGCACATTCTGGTTATCCAGGGTTTGGGTTCAGGCCCATCTGTCTGGAGCTGAATTTGTTTGCTCCCAAGATTGTTTCTTTGTGCTTGCTTGGTTTTGTTTTGCTAAGTTGTGCTGTTTTCAGTTCCTGTACAATAACTATTTTGCTAAGCTTGTACGCATGAAGGTCAATTTCAGGTCAAGACAGTATCTTTCTTATAATGTGGAATGCAGGGAAGCCTTTTCTCCCACTAGATAATGATTCTCCAAACGTCTGGAAAAATCTGGAAAGTATCAGAAATAAATAATTAGACCATAGTTTTAAAGTCTATTCTTTTATGTGAGAATCATTCATATGTACCTTAAACATGGGTAAAATGCCCAGCACCCTGGGGAAAAAAAGCAGTTATACCCATGCCAGAATGGAAGGGGATATATTTTTTTAAAAGTTGGTTTTAAAGTAGGCTGACAGGATTTAACCACTTGAACAGCAGGAAATAAAACCCATTTTTCCAGTTATTTTTACATTTAAGCTATATTTCTATCATACAGAACGCCACGGGCTTTTCTTTCAGTTATTAACAAGAATTGCTCAAACCATTTTATTGTGATTTCAGTTTCTAAAATAATTAGTGTCATTATGTTCTGGGACAACTCACAGCTCTGCAGTGGCTGCTGCTGTTTTATGAATGCTTCTCCGAGAAGTATAATGTAAAGCAGTGGTCCCCAACGCGGTGCCCACCAGGACATTTATGTGTGCCTGCCGAGTGACCAGGGCCACCCCAAGCCATTCTTGTGCCCCAGGCCCTGGGCACGCGGCGCATGCGCGGCCCCACCCCCAGCCATGTGGCTCATGAGCAGCCCCGCCCCTGGGCACCCAGCAGCCCCAAAAGGTTGGGGACCACATTGTAAAGCTTAGCCACGGCAGCGCTTATAGTAGTGTGTTCATAGTACTGGTGCTGGGAGAGAGCTCTCCCACTGCTCTATGTAAACCACCTCCAGGAGGGGAGTAGTTGACAGTGCTGGGAGCCTGTTTACTTGGCTCTTTACAGCACTGTAACTCTCTGTGCTTTGGGAGGAAGGGGGAGTTCCACATCCCTGAGACTACGTCTACACTGCAGAGTTTTTGCACAAAAACAGCTGTTTTTATGCAAAAACTCATGGAGCGTCTACACTACAAGTGCATTTTTATGCAAGAAAAGTACAGTAGATCATCAGAAGACAGGTCTTTTTGTGCAAGAATTATTCCTCTTTCTACAAGGAATAAGACTTTATGCGCAAGAGCTCGTGCGCAAAAAGGCATGTGTGGATAGGCAACAGGTGCTGTGGATGGCCAACATGTGTGGAAAAAGCACAGGTGCTCTGATGGCCATTCTTTGAATGACCATCAGAGCTTTCTTGAGCAAGAGTGTCCATGGCAGTGTGGATGCTCTCTTGCTCAAAAGCACATCTCTTGCGCAAAAGTACATGGCAGCTTGAATGCGCTCTTGCACAAGAACTTTTTGGGGAAGATCTCTTCTGCAAAAAGTTCTCATGCAAGAAGCCTGCAATGTAGACATAGACTAAGTGAGAAAGTTACAGTGCATTAATTTGCCAGTGTAGGCAAGCCCATGTACTTCTGCCTCACTGCTGTGCATTTACTTATGCTTAAGGTGGAGATGTTTTTTCTGTTGTGCTGGCAACCCATCCATCTGACATCTGACTAAGGTATTAGATAATCCTGATTATGTTGCTGTCCTCCAACACTATTAAAAAGGCAGACACTCATTCAGGACTCAGTTCAGTCACAGCCATGTTCATTGGTAAAAGTGGTTTCTATTAGCTAATCATGAAGTTATATTACAGTTGCCTGTACATACTCTAAACACATTTGAGAACCAGATGCTGTAAAAACAAATAGTAAGAGACAGTCTGTGTCCTGAAGATCTTGCTTTCTAAAGTCTAACTCAAAGAGTGGGAGAGAATGAAGTGACTTGCTGGAAGTCGCACAGAATGTCAGTGGCATAGCTATGAATAGAAACTCTTCATTCCTGTTGCAGTGTCCTTCCTATTCACTAGACTATGGTGCCTCTCAATGCTATGTGAGTAAGGGTGATGGAATCAGACCCCCAAAACACAATAGGTTTGTCCCACAGAGTAAAGGCAACTAAGATAGGTTCTGGGGTACATTTTCAGCTGACAGTGTCCAGATAGCAGTGCCACTGATTAACAAAAGTCTGGACAGTAGTTTGTCTCTAAGGGTACATCTACGCTGTGGTACTATTTTGGGATACTTCCGGTACCCCTGAATAGCTATTCTGCATCTTGACAGCACGGCTCTTATTTTGAAAAACCTTTGAAATAGTGTGTGCGCTATTCTGACGTCTCTGTAAACCTCGTTCTGTGACTATTAAGAGACATTTTGGAATCACGGATTATTTCAAAATTTGGCTTTGTATAGACAGCACCAAAATATAAAATAAGCTATTTTGAAATACACTCAAAATAAGCTACACAATTTGCATACTGTAAATTGCTTAGCTTATTTCAAGCTAAGGGTGCTGTGTAGATACATCCGAAGAGAACTGTGCCTGAGAAAGTAAGGCCTTTACAGAAGTCTCTGCAGCTTGAAGCATTTTCCTTTAGTCTTGTAGAAGACTGTGGGGCTCTTGCAGGCCTTTGACTTTTGCATATTCCCAAAGCTGGTAATCTATTTTCATCTAGCTAGCGCTAGTGGGATTTTAGCACCAGGGGAAACAGTCAATGTTAAGTCTGAAGAACAGATGGCTGATAAAAGTAATATAGCAATAGCTCATGTTAATACTGTAATAATGGGGCCAAGTGTATTATTTTTTATACAGAAAGAGCTGTTTTCTTCCAAAACTCAAACTCAACCCAAGCTACAGCTCTTGTGAGGTTTAAAAAGTTGGGTTAGTTACAAAGGCAGCTATGTAAAGCCTTCTGATCGCCTCCATTTATCTTCTCACAGTAAAAGCCATAGAGCCACCACCTTAATGGAGCCCACTCAGATCCTGGGGAACTTGCTAGAGGTTCAGGGCCATCTGTACAGAGACCCCAAACTTCCGGCAGCAACCTCAGTTCTTTGATCTCGCTGATCCATTGGAGACACACTATCTAGGGGTCACATATCTTGGCCTACGTGACCAGAACTAATGAGGGGTGAAGTGCCAGGACCGATAAGACAGACAAGGGGAAGAAAAAGGCTTTGCTCCCAGGCTGCCCACTTTTTCTGGCACACATTGTTCCCATACACACACACCTCTATGTAGACTTCTGATTTGCAGCATCCAGGGAAGAGTGGAGAGGGGTGCCACAGAGTTGTCTGAGTTCCTGTGTCCGCATGGAGCCTTCTGAAAAATAGCTAAGAAGAGACAAAGAGTGTTAAATTGTGATTTCATCATTCTGAATACAAAACAAAACAGACACCAGATTCACAGGAAGATACAAGGGAGTGTCAGGGTGGTGTGTGCTGGAAACCACCTTCAGACCTCCTGGGCATTGTATCCAGACAGGAACCCCCTGTAACATCCAACTTTGCTTGCCTAGAAGCGTACAGGGCACACAGAGCACTAAAATCTCTGACAGAAGGCCCGGATATGCAGGCTGCTGTGACCCTGGATGGCTGTAAACAGAGATACGCCAATTGCTGACCAAGAGGCTGCCAAGGAGTGCCCTTGACTGAAACCTATATTGATATGAACACACACTGTCCAGGGGGAGAAATCCCCCATCCAGTAAAAAAATGTCCAGTACTCACAATTTAGTTATCTCTCTTGCAAGTGTAAATTAAGTTAAAACTCCCTTGTAAGAACTGGCGTCACAAAGACGGACCAACACAATTTGGCATCTTAGATAAGAAAGAGGATCCGGGCCCCTATGGGTATAAAGATGGGTCCAGCAGCACACTTACTTTGAGCGTCAATCTACCGTCTATCTTTTGGTCGGGTTAGGTGATTGGCCTCTCGAGGTTCCACAGGGATGCCCACCTCGTATTCGTCTTTCCTAGGAATTGAGGGACCGGCCCTGGCCTGATACGCTGGAGTCGAGAGGCACAGAAGGGGGTAAAAATTGTACCTGGATGTAGTCCTTTGTCTTAAGTGTACACATAGACTTAGAGCTCTTTAAAGATTAAGCTGTCACTTGGTACCATTATTTCTATTTTCTATCTTTATTTTCTTTGTAACCATTTTTAAGATCTATATTTGCTAGTAGTTAAAAAATAGAGCAATAGCCACTGTAACCATATGGTTTATAAGCTTCTTTAATAAACTTGTAACTGTTTAAGCTTTAACCTGACTCCTTCAGTTGCTGTAACAGAACCAAGCACAATTTAAAAGAACTTCAGCCGGTCATAAGGGACAGATATAGGAAGAGCTGGGGCATTTGGATCGAGTTGCTTCCAGAGGACAGATCCGTAGGGGCATCTCTCAGTCTTCCCTAGGCTGTCCGCTGTGAAGGGATCCTGTGTCCTAGCAATTAAAATCTGAGATGTAATAAGCTCTTCCTATAAACTCTGGAGCGTCTGTCAGCCTGTTGGCTGCCCTGCCCCAAGGGATCCCAATCCTAGCAGACAAAGACACGGACGTTAAACTCCTCGGGGTGCCCGTCAGTCTCTCCTAGACTGCCCACTGCGACGGGGCCTTGTGTCCCAGCAGTTAAAGACTCTGGTGTAACACACACACACACACTGCCCTGAACATCGGCTGACAGGCATGCATCAGTTGCAAAGACTTCTCATCTGGCATCAAGAAACTAGTGCAAGTTAATTTAGTGATATACTGGGTATCACAGTTTATTATGTGTTAGGGAAGTGTCCCGGTTTGTTGAAGTTCAATAAAGAAATCAAGAACACTTGAGCCTGCTCCCAGTTAACATAAATGTGCCATTGACTTCAGTGAGAATAAGTTCTGGACTTTTGTTCTTACAGCCAGTAAATACACATCATGGCTGTTTCCCCAATCTTGGAAAGGAGTGAGAACATCATTTAAGGTGCTGAGAGCCCTCAGCTCTTAAGGAAGCCAAAAAAAACCCTTTAAGGACCTGGAAGAAGGTGCTTAGCACCTGACTAGCTCAGGCCTTAGGCTTGCAATAACCAGTATCAACTCTAGAAAAGTGGCTCACAGACTAAACGATCTGGAAGTGAGAAGAGTTGTTTCCTATATCCGGTTAACAGCTGAAAACTGGAGCAGATAGAAGGATATGGTCAAAAATTAAACCACTAGTGACATTTGTTAACTAGCATGTGCTAGGTGCTGCACAGAAAGCACTGAAATATACAGCCCTATCCTATAAAATGTAACCACCTAAATATTAGATCTGTGATCCAAAGGAGGGTGATATATAGTTGTGTACCTTGTGAATCGAGGACCTTATAATAAATATTGGGCTATATCATGGCATATTGCCCAGCTTCCCCAGCCATGCTACCACTTGAGCTAGCAGCACCTACTTTGTGAGTGATGCTGGACTTCTGTAGTTCCTAAGTGAAAGGGAAGTTGTGTTCGCATGGCACCATAACTACCCCAGCCACTAATCTTTCAATTTCCACTTGGTTCTGTACAGGTTGTACCTCCCTTAACTGGGACTCTCTGGTCCAGCAACATCTGTGGTCTGGCAGAACCAGGTAAAGAGAGGTTAGTTCATGAGGCAGGAGTGTTGTGTGTGTGTGTGTGTGTGTGTGTGTGTGTGTGTGTGTATATGTGGGGGGGGGGGGTGTCTAG